GAAGGAAGGAAGGAAGGAAGGAAGGAAGGAAGGAAGGAAGGAAGGAAGGAGAGAGACAATATCTAGACTGGACTTTGTTACGCTTCAAAGTATTCAAGTCATTGAAATGAGGAAGAGCAGTGACTGAAGTTAGCGCTTGACTTTTTTACAATATTTTACATTTTAAAAATGTATGTGGCATAATTACTAACTGGTAAAGAGTCACGGAAGGGTCTGGAAGACTTTTTTCCACAAACACAGTCCTCCTGTTATCCATGTAGTAATCCACCACCCACGAGAGAAACACTGACTTGTTTCCTAAATGTTCATGATTGGTATTTAGAATATCATACAGTTAGTGGCTTACTAAAGTGGTAGGAATTTAAGAATTATGTTGCTTTGGCTTTGATTTTTTTAACATTAATATTTTTTGAAATAATGATACACTAGCAAGAAGTTCCAAAGATGATGCAGCATGCTTTGCTTTTTAGTTCCTAGAAAACAGGTGAGGACTGGCCGTCTGTTTCATTACAATAACAACAAAATGCAAATTCCAGAATAAAAAACTTTTCTGTAAGTACTTGAACAGTTTTTACAGTGTGCTGTGTCCTGCAGTATTTGTCAAATTGTGCAGTGAGAAAAATACTGAATTTCAGCCAATATCGTGTGGAGCACAGACTCTGGGGTCAGGTTGACCTGGAGCTGTGTTCTTACATCAGTAATCATCCAGTGGTCACATCCTTGACATCTGACTAAATGGAGATAATAATGGGCTTCTCGGAGTTCCTTCAAGATTAAAATGTGAGGTAGGTACAGTATGGAGGTGGACACTGAGAAACAGGCAGATCACAAACTCAGGATCAGCCGCCTGATAGTCCTATCTCAAAAAAGAAGAATAAACTCATTTTTATAAATGTTACGCACTTTTAGTCATAGTTTTGTTTTGGGTATTATTAAGATGAGCTAATATCTTAAGATACCTGTATTTTGTAGTTTTCTTGTTTTTGATATGTTTTTAAGTGAAATTCACGTGAATTAGCCGCTTTAGAGAGAGTAGTCCACTAGCATCTATCATGTTCAGTGTTACAAGCACTGTTGACCATTGTCATCCCTCTGACGGAATGCTATAACATTCACTGAAAGAGTTTTCTTTTCCTCCCCACCCTGTGGCGGCCACCAGTCTGCGTTCTGGTTTTCTGAGGGCTTTGCTGAAATCTATCTATTGTTCGTCCTTCCTTCCTTCCTTCCTTCCTTCCTTCCTTCCTTCCTTCCTTCCTTTTCTCTCTCTCTCTCTTTCTTTCTCCCCCACCCCACTTTTTTTTGTTTTTTTGAGACAGGGTTTCGTGGCATAGCCTTAGCTGTCCTGGTGCTCACTCTGTAGACCAGACTGGCCTCAAACTCACAGAGATCCTCCTGCTTCTGCCTCCCAAGTGCTGGGATTAAAAGCATGTGCCACCACTGTCAACTACTGTGATTTTTTTTTCTTGCCTTTTTTGTTTTTTTAATTATTTTGAGATGCATGCTTTTTTTTTTTTTTTTTTTTTAGGAGGAATAGTATGTTCTATATACATACCATGTCTTAATCATCTGTTAATGGATTTCTGGACCATTTTCATCTTTTGGCTATAGAGAAAAGTACTGTTATAGATAAATACGTGTCTTCATTTCCTTGGAATATCTACCTGGAGATGGAATTGCTAAGTCATATTTTGTTATTTAAAAACTTTGAGAACTACCAAAATGTTTTCCATTGTAAAATAGTCATATCAGCAATGTTCTGAGGGTCCTGGTCCCTCTGCTTTCGTAAACACTGTTGAATAATAACTGTCCTAGTGAACATAAAGTGGCACTTCATTGTACTTTCCTTTTTAAAGATTTATTTATTGTGTATACAGTACTCTACCTGTATGTATGCCTGCACGTCAGAAGAGGGCACCAGATCTCATTATAGATGGTCATGAACCACCATGTAGTTGCTGGAAATTGAACACAAGACCTCTGGAAGAGCAGCCAGCTCCTACCCTTTGAGCCATCTCTCTAGCCCTTTCACTGTGCTTTTGATCTATATTGCCATGACTGTCTTCTTGCTCCTCTGTTACCGTCACAGCTCTGTTAGAGTATAGCCCAGGCCTCCCCAGCTTCCCTTGTTCCTGTACTCCTGCCTCTGTTTCCCTCTTCACCATCCTGCTGTGAGCCCATTCACGAGGGTTTCACGTCAGTTACTATACTTCTAAAACTTCCATTGGGACTAGTTGTATGTTTAAATTTTTATTGTTTATCTTACATGTGTGGGTATTTTGCCTACATATATGTCTGTGCACCACATGTATGCCTGGTGCCTGTGAAGACCAGAAGAAAGCAGTGGATAGGGTACTTTTCTTTGTACATGGTGACTAGATCTGAATCAAAATTGAAGGTATACACCACCATGACTCGCGGTTGGAAAATTTTAATAAACTAAGAAGTAAGTAAATCCTAAGTATATTTCAAAAAACTCTCCATAAAATAATTTCTCCTGTAGGTACATTTTATTTGTGAAAATTTTGCTTTTTTTTTTTTTAACTTTTTCTGTTGCTGTGACCAAGTACATGACGAAAAACAACTTAAGAAAGAGTTTGTTTGGGCTTACTATGTGAAGGAAATACAGTCGTCCATGGCAGAAAACTTTAGCAGCCAGCATAAGAAACTGTTCACATTACCTCAGGGAGAAAAAAGGGGACAGAAAGTGAGGCCTGAGTATAGGAACCCACTTACTTCCTTCAGCCAGGTTCCACCTCCTCAACCTTCTGTAACCCCTCAGGATAGTGTCCCTGGCTGTTAAAACATGTGAGCCCCCGAGTGACATGTCACAGTCCAACCACACACATGCAGGCAATGGAAATTCCATTAGGACATGTGACTCTGGAATGGTGAGGTACTTCTGGTATTTTCCTGTTCTGTACTTGAACTGTTTGTTTGTTTATTTATTTTGTAGCCTGCTGCTTTATTGAGTTAACTACACACCTGCAATACTCACAGGGACCTTGAGAGGATTGGGGTGGGTTGGAGACCACTCTGTGGTCCGTGAGCAGGAGGAACATAGTGGTCCATTCAGTCCTGATTAACAGGACCAGATGGAGGCTTAATGTGGGGAAGTCTGTGTTTCACCTATATCCTGGGTCTCAAGGATGTTTGTTCAGTGCAGGAGTCGACAGGCAGTGTGGAAAGTGTGGCAGTTTCCAATGGCCTGAGCAGCTCTAGCCTCTACCCTGCCACCCATCAATAGATTCCCTTCACTCGCTTGTTGTCAGGGTTGAAGGGAGACTTCAGGTGAACCTGGGCAGCATAGGTGACCTCCATTCTCTCCAAGGTATACTCTCCACTCTTCACAAAGTCTAGAGAGACTGGACCACCACTGGGGTCTCGGATGTAGCCATAGGCAATTGCCATGTCCAAAGTCAGCCCTCTGGACATGGCCCACCACTTGGCTGTTTCTCCAGATAGCTTCCAAGCCAAACATAGGCACCCCCTCTTCTACAGTGAGGCATACCAGGCGTCGATGGAGGCCTGTGGCTCCCTGCTTCTTTAGAGCCTCACAGCCTAGGAAGGGCACTGAGGGCTTGAGCTTACAGGTGAAGGCTAATTCTGCCTCCAGGGGGCTGTCATCAGGCCTCAGGTCTGCATGCCAGTGTCGATAGCCTTTCTCCATGCTCAAGGAGTCAGTGGCATGGTAGCCTGAATTGACAAGGCCATGCTTGGCATCTGCAGCCGTCACAGCCCAGTAGACTGGCAAACAGGATGCACGGGGCACATGCAGCGCCCAGCCCAACTCCCTGACAGAGGATAACCAGATGGCCCGGACCAAGTGCCCAGCAGCTCTCACCAGCTGGTGGGTGGAGAAGGGGAAGGCCTCATTGCTCAGGTCAGCGTCAAGCACATCCTGGAGAATGGCACGGCTGGCTGGGCCCTGGATGCTGAGTATGCCCAGATCTTCAGAACTACCCATAAGCTGGCACCAGAACTCCTGGTCTTGTAGCACGGTGGTTATGTGGGACTAGTTTGTTGGGTCACAGCCCCACCCACAGCCAGGTAGTAGCCATCCCCTTCAAAGGCAGGGGCCAGGCGGCTAACAGGTCACTCTCAGTGCCTCCCCGATGGTTCAGCGTGCACGTGTATACTGTTGAGCCTGGGGGTTGGTTGACATCTGCTGAGAAGAGCCAGTCAGCGGCCTACCTGGCTTCCACCCCCAGCAAGTAGAACTTCTCAAAGTAAGACATGTTGAACATGGCAGCAGCACCTCTGCAGGCCAGACATTCCTTCTGGACCATGTGAAGGTACGGTGGGCAGCCAAAAGTGTACTCCTTGCCTAGCAGCCTTCTGTAGGCATAGTCCTGTGTACCTGGTTTCCATAGGCTCCATAGTAGTCTTAGTTACAGAAAAGAGACCAGCTCCCACTCTCCGTTCCTCTTCCTTCTTGTGGCCTGAAGGTAAATGCTCCCACCCCAGGCCCATATGTTTGAGCGCTTGGTTCTCATCTGATGGTGCTGTCTAGGGGGTTGTGGGATGTTTCGGAGGTAGAGCCTTTTTGAAGTAAATGGGTCTTGAACTATTCTTTTGTTCTTGTTTTGCACCTTTTTATCCTGCAGAAGTAATTCTGAATGTTTGATCCTTTAACAGCCATTCTTCCTCAGCTGTTGGAAAAGAAAAGTGTGCTCTGAGCTCAAGCGGTAATAGAATCAACTAGATTATCCTCTTGAGAACTCTGCCTGCCTATGTTCCTTGGTTCTTTGTTTTCATTTTCTGCCTTCTTTTATGTTTTTCTCTTGCCTTATGATAATTAGAAGTTAGATGTTCATAATTTTGTAATGCTATCAAGAACTTAGCTCATTCAGAATGGCTATGCAAAGCGTATAAATGTTCATTGGTATCTATAGACTTTGGGTAGTGGTTAATTTTGGTATATATTTTTTGTTTGTAAGGCTTTTTGTAAAAAGTTTTTTTAAAAGATAAAGAACTTAGTTCAGCTTTCCTTTCCTTTGTAGAAAGGGCAATTGCAAGACATGAAGTACGAGAAATTGAACAGCGACATACAATGGACGGCCCTCGGCAGGATGCAGCTTTGGATGAAGAAGAGGATATCGTCATCATTTATAATAGAGTTCCCAAAACTGCGAGCACCTCGTTCACCAATATCGCCTATGACTTGTGTGCAAAGAATAGATACCATGTTCTTCATATCAACACTACCAAAAATAACCCAGTAATGTCATTGCAAGATCAGGTAATTACCACATAGGGAATACACAAATGCTTTCTGAGAGCTCCTCAAATTTGGTATTGCAAAGGATGAAGTGTTTTAAAGGGATGTGTGCAGTTACCAATGAATTGTATGTGGGTTTGGTGGGGAGGGCAACCAATTTTTTCCCCCAGATTTATAGTTTTTCTAATACTTAACACATTTTCTTGCATATATAGTCAATCTATAGTCAAAAATTTATGAGGTGAGCGAATTGAAAAAAGAGCTAGAAGTTTTGATATTCTTCAGTATGAAATCTCTTTTTTTGTTGTTTGTTTGTTTTGAGACAAGGTTTCTCTGTGTAGTCCTGGCTATCTGGAGTTTGCTACGTAGAGTAGGCTGGCCTTGAGCTCACAGAGATCTTCATCTTGCCCAGTTTAGAATTGTTTTTTAAAACATGAAAAGATTCGTGCAGTAAAAAGTTACGGTTTGAACTCATAACGAGGAGGGATTGACTCAATACCTGCACACAGTTCTGTACTACCCTCCTGAATTTCTTCTTCAGGCTCAAGTAATGTTAGCCACAAACCAGCCTCCTGGAGAACAAATAGCGGCGGATGTCTTTAGCAAAATCTTACTTTCTAATTGTCTCATTGAATTCTAGATGAACAAATGGATAGACAACTTCATGTAATAGTGTTTTAAAATATTGGATATTGTCAGATGAAATCTATTTCTTCCAAAAGCAGCTTACATTTCCCATTTACTTGCAATGATAGCTATAATTGTAAGTTCACATTGTTAATATTGATGACAAAGGGTGTTTGGCCACTGTAAAAAGAAACTGAAATCCTACGTAGCCCCAGATGCCATATTGCAGGAGCTCCAATTAGAAGCTGTCTGCAGTCATGCTGCAGTTAGGTCTTCAGCTGCTTGGAAGTGGTCGGCCATAGTTGGTTGTGAACTTGACCATTTTTTTTTCATTTCAAACCTATCTATAACTGTTACACTAAGCAGGGAATAAAGTGATGCATTCTTGCCCGAGAGCTGTTATTGAAGGTTAACGGTAGATGGCATATCATCTAGCCATCTGCTTTTTGACTCTCTGTTGAATCATTTATTATTTTTTATAGAACAAAAAATAAATGTCTTGTCAGCCAAATAAAATAATTCTGTAAATGAGAGGAAACAGGCTTTTTAAAACTGTTAGTAATTAAAAAAAAAAAAAAATCACAGTTTATCTCAAGGCCAGCATACCAAGTGTTACTTTTGCACACTGTGTGGTGGGTTTGTATAGGTGCATTGCAGAACATACCTTGATTTAAAAGAGCGTGTCTTGATCCTCACGGAATAACTTCAAATTTTCTCAGCAGTATTTTTCTTTTTTAATGTTAACTTGTTTGTTCAATTTTTGCTTATTTTGTGTCCAATCTTCCAAAGTTTCCTGGCAGCTACAAGGTATCTGGCAATGACATCCGCGTTTTTTCCTTAGTGAAATGATAAGTGTGGAGACGCTCACCACACATGACATTTATCAGCCCTGTGTAGATGCACTTCCCAGTTGCACGTGGATGGGATGCTGCTTGTTTTCCCTTCAGCGCCTTGGCATTTATACATAGGACGAGCACAGCTGAGAAGAGATTGCCGCTCTAAAGCAGGCACTGTGCGGTGAGCAGCACCAAGAACTTCTTTTATAGAGCACTCTAAGCATTTAATGACAGACTCCAAATGTCAGCTGGTAGTGCAAAGCCTGCTCCTATCAACAGTGACAGACAGGGGACCTCTGATACAGCATGTGTAAAGTTTACTGATCTCATGCACAGAATCCATCTTCTTAAAAAAAAAAAAAAAAAGCCACATTGCAGCTCCCTGTCCTTAGCATGACATGAGGGCTTTTACTCCAACCCAAGAAGCATCATCTGAATGTAAATTTAAAACTTCTATGATTTTAAGAAGATCTCCATCTTCTATACTATACTTTTACTGTCATATTCTGTTGTACTACTTTATGACTTTCAGCTGATTAGGAATCTGAATGGTTGTCCGCTAAGCAGATAGCTTCACATTGGTGTCACATTAGTGACTCGAGTAAAAATGCTGCTGGGGGAACCTGTGTGTAAAGCCCAATCAACTCTTAGAAAAGCTGGGCTGTAATAGGAGACCCTGGTCCATTTGGATCCTCGTGCATCCATGTCAGCAGCTTGTCCCACCCAGCACTGTACATCTTGGATACGCTGCTAAACTACTTACATGCTCACTTACCTTTATTAAAGCTTAGAAGCAAAGCCCAAAACATTTTTAGTCTCAGAGCTGTTCAGCAAGATGACAGCAGTGCTTCTCAGGCATCCTTGGAAAGTTGTCAGCTTTGTTCTCAAATGTCTCAATCACCTTACTGAATATGTGATATATACAAAGGTTGTGCCACATTCTTTGGAAGAAATACCAATGAAATAAAGCCCAATGCATGTCTTTCAAAGAGCTTTTTATAATTTACTTAGGAGTCTAAAACATAGAGTAGAAACTGAGAGTAGTTAAAACATCAGCGTATGATAATATCACCAAAATGTTTTATGTTACGTACTTTGAAGAAAGCACACTTATATCATAGACCGTCCTGTAGAACAGCCCTCCTTATCTTCTCTAAAGTTCAAGTGTTGTGACAGCTAAACAGGACACAGGGCCATGGTGGAAGCTCAGAGTACAGGAGACTAAGAAAGCAAAGGTGTTGTGTGATCATAATTGGACATTTGGTTTAAAATGAGAAGGTCCTTGTTCATAAATAGTGCATGCTACAGCATTTAAGAATGAAGTGTGGATGTGTTCCATTGTCAGATACTTGAGAACAATGAATATGTCTGAACATATAAAGAGAGACCATGTGTTGACAGTAAAGAGTCTAGGTGAGCAGTTCATGGGTGCTGGCACCATACCATTTCTACTTCTAAAGTATAGAGTGTGTTCATTTGGAGGCAGGACCTCGCTTGTGCCGCACAAGATAGACTCGTATATGCAGGGATGCTCTGCCCCAGCCTCCTGTCTGGAAGGAAGCAGCTGGGACAGAGGAAGAAGAAAGGCTTTCAAGGAGATTAACAGAACATAGAAGCACAAGAAACTAAGAGGTTAAAATGAAGTGACCTTTGTTAGAGTTAGGTTTTTGAGGTGGCTTTTAATTTAGATAATTATAAGGAATTGGTGAGGGCTAAAGAGGTGGCTCAGTGGTTAAGAGCACTGACTGTTCTTCCAGAGGCCCAAGTTTGATTCCCACAATCACATGGTGCATCTAAGCCATATGTAACTCCAGTGCCAAGGGACCCAAGTCCCTCTTCTTGCCTCTGTGGGCACCAAACACAGGCACACATGCAGACAAAACACTCATGCACAAAAAATAAAATAAAATAAAATAAAATAAAATAAAATCGGTTAGAAATAAAGAACTGGTGCAAGAAACAGCTCTTCTAGTTAAAAACAGCTTTATATCATAGAACATCTTGTGACTGTGCCCAGTAGCTATAATTGGCAGCATGCTGTGTGGACTTTCTTAAATCCATTCTGCTCTCATATTTTTAAGTTGATTATATGTGACCCATCTTGGTTTAAACATTGAAAGCATCTAGCTCTAAAGGACAACATAGTAATATATATATATATATATATATATATTTATTATGTGTGTACGTGTTTTTTTTAACCTACTCTTAAGCTGACTTGTGCTCATTATTATTAGAGCCTATAGTTTGCTATGTGCTGCAGATACTTCTCAGAGCAACACACTAGCTAGCATTCACAGCCTATTCTGTGTAAGCTAATCATTGGTTAAAATGTGGATTCTTAACTGTAAAGAATCAAAATATAATGTGATGTTCTGAATTTTTAGAAAGCTTCTTCCATTTGATGTTGCAGTTCTGGAAAAGCGATTTAGAACACAGTTTAGTAGCACTATACAAAGACACATTGAGATCTTTCCAGGAAGTTTTGTTTATCTTTACATTCATGTTTCTACTTTCACTGCAGCATCCAAATTTCTTATCCCAGCCAATAGACCCATCCTAATTCAGCTCTTATCTTTTACATCAACATCTTATCCAGTGGATATTCTAGCTTTTTGGGTCATGGACTGTGCCAAGCCTTTCTCACTTCAAGCCACCTGCTCTTACCTCCTAGTATAATGTATCTCTCGCTAGTTGTCTTCATGCTCTTCATTTAGCTCCATATTAAATGACAGGCTCTTGGACCTTGACTAGCCATCCTGTGTACCCCTTCCAAGATATTGGAATCATATCACTCTGAGTACTAATCAATTTATGCACTTATCTTACATAGTAGTTTGGTTTCTTTCTGTAGTACAAACCCATTGAGGGAAGACATCTTGTTTGTTCAGTGTATCCCTCATGCCTTGTGCCTCGAATAGTGACCAAGATGTGGAAGATGCTTGATACAACTTTTGTTGAATGATGCGTATGTCAGTGAATGAACCAACCTAGATTTTGATAGTAGTCCTTTCCTGACCTCAGCCCCATGGTTACAGCTACAAGCCGAGAAAACTCTCCGATTGATACAGTTTGATTTTCTACCTCCCAAAGTTGAACAGCTCAGGTCTGGTGCCCTGTATTGCACCTGAACCCCATACTTTTTTATTTATATACTACTTTTCCCATTAGTATAGAAAATCTTCTCTCTGGTTTAGACTAAAAAATATGCCTGTGGCTATACAAGAAATGTTTAATTGAAGTAAGTTTATTAGTAGGTGTTGGTAATAATTGCATAAGCTAATAGTAGTCTCCATCTCAAGAGATAATTACGAAGCTGGAAGTAGGCCAAGGAGTTCCGGGATACTCCTACTCCTTCAGATAGTGGAAACGCATTCTTTTGTGATCACAGAGATCAGAATGTGGAGTAGAACCTATTGAGAATGAAGGCCTACCTGCTGTTCCTGCGACAGCGCCTTCTCAGCTTTTTCCTTTAGTATTGGTTCAGGTCTGATTTAACAAGCAAATAAATCATGTACCACCACCTACGCTGCTTGTTTTTTCCCCAAAGGTATATTG